CCATGTGACAGGAGCCCAGAAAAAAACGGGTAGCAATCTTATTTGCAGACAAAGTAAATTTCAAACCAAAACTGAATCTAGTATTATTGATGTAGGATGGTACTGTATCATACCTCTATGAATGAAAAATATCTAGTACCTGCTTTATGACACATAGTAAGGACCGTGCTTTATCAGAGCTACATTTAATGATATTACTCTAGAATGTTCTCTTTCCAGATGATGATTAAGAAGCTAATAGAAAAAAATGGTGCCAGGTACCACAACAGCAACAGAACTTTGCTGTTGTCTGGATATTATTCTTTTCTTTGTTGTTGTTTTTTTGTTTTTTTTTTTAATGGAATCTGCTGAAGATCTATAATTTATGAAAAAAAGAGTAAGATAAGACTATAAGAGCGAGAAGCAATTTAAATATGTTCAGGGACCATTTTCATCTCCAGAATTAAGGCTTATTTTGATGTTACATTATTGCCTTTTCTCTTTTACTTTCCTTTTTAGTTTTATTTTAGGATTCCCTATTTTTAATGTTCATACAGAGACTTCTTTAACTGAAATACCGAATAGTTTCTTTGGTGTGAAAAACTATAATAGTACACAGGATCCTAATGAGATAATTAATAATGTGAAATAGGAAGTGAAGGGCTAAAGGTGTAAGGAAAGTGGGAAGGGTGGGGGAAAGGTAATAAGGGAGAGGAAAAAAATATGAGAAACTGAAAAAATGGAAATAAAGTGTTTGTAAATGGGGAGGAGAGGAGGGGTTGAAGGGAGGGCAGGGACAAGGGGAAAAATGAGAATCAAGACCTATTATGTAAAGGTGCAGCATCCCAATGATGAATGTAATTGTATTGTATTCCTAATTTGTACCAATAACCTCAATAAAAAGAAAAAAAAAAAAAAACCTTCCTAATAGCTTTCTATCATCTCACTTTAGCTAATGTTCTCCACAACTGAATATTTGTTGAAGGGAGGGCAGGGACAAGGGGAAAAATGAGAATCAAGACCTATTATGTAAAGGTGCAGCATCCCAATGATGAATGTAATTGTATTGTATTCCTAATTTGTACCAATAACCTCAATAAAAAGAAAAAAAAAAAAAAACCTTCCTAATAGCTTTCTATCATCTCACTTTAGCTAATGTTCTCCACAACTGAATATTTGTCTGACTCACCTATTTAAACCATCCAAATCTTTCAAAATCCATCCTTTCCTTCTTCATGAAGTCTTCCCTGATCTGAAAGCCTCTTTCACAAGCAGACTCATTTTCTGTTTTCCCCAAATTCAATATTAAAATGCAATTTCTAACACCATATTATCGTATTTTACTTTTTGTTAAGTAATTAACTATATATTCATCCCCCCTTCAAAATTATTCAAACCTTAAGGGCAATGCTATCCCAGTTATCACTTTTCTATAGTTTACTCTTGTCTATGACACGACTTTGAAACTAGCAGTTTGTAGTCATACATTTCATAAACTTCCAGGACATGTCGTCTGGAGAGTATTTCCACCAAGACTACTGTTGCACTTTGACCGCCACCTTAACATGTAAGAAGATAAAGGTTATCCTGCACAGCAACAGAATCACCTAAAAGACCTCTGGGGAAGTTTATACTTTTGCTTATTTATATATATAGGAAACCTAGCCAATACATGTAAGTTTCTAGCAAAAAGACCGGGTCTCATTCTTAGAACTCAGTGCCCAGAACTATCACCTTGAAGTAACAGCAGGGGCCCAATTATAAAATTTACCATTTTAACTGTTTCTAGGCACACAATTCAGCTGCATTGAGCACATTCACACCTTTGTACAAACAACAGTATTGTCCATCTCCACACTTTTACATCATCCCAAACTGAAACTATACCCACTAAACAGTAACTCTTCTTTTCCCCACTCCGGGCACCTGGGTGCCACTGATCTGCCCTAATCATTAATCTACTCTCTGTCTCCATGAATCTGGTTATTCTAGATACCCCATATAAGTAGAATCATATACTGAAGGACAAGCCTCCAATGACAGCTGGCACTCATAGTTACTCTACCAGGCTACAAGGACACTGAACTTTGTGGGTTGCTAATGGCAACCACTGCAAGAGACTTCAAAATAATATCTGAAATTCTGTCCTTACATTCTCTTATTCTGCTGAGGAAACTTTCAATGGAATTTTTAATTTCTTAGATATCTTCTTGGATGTGTTTTAGGCTTTCCAATTCTTTCCTATGCTAGGTGTTCATGGTTTCTATTATTTTCCTCAGCTCCTCTATTTTTTATTTTTTGTCTGTATCTGCTCTAGAGTTATTAATCATGTCTTTCATTATGGTCACCATCTCTATTTTCATGAGAAATTTTTACTAGCTGTTCCTCAGACAAAGGTCTACTATCTACACTATATGATGAATTTAAAAAAATCAGACCCCCCCCCGCAATGTAAAGACCCAGTCCAAAAATGGGCATGTGAAATGAGCAGACATTTCTCAGACAAAGAAGTAGAAACAGCAGGGCTGGAAATTTAGCTCAGTGGTGCTGAAGCCAACCTCCAAGCAAGGTCCTGAGTCCGATCCCCGGAACAAAAAAAAAAGTAGACACAGCAAATAAACATATAAAACATGTTCAATATCACTGGTCAACAGATGCAAATAAAGACAATGCTGAGATTTTACCTCACTCCAGAAAGAATGGCTGTTATCAAAAAATCAACCTACAAATGCTGATGGGGCTGTGGGGAAAAAAGAACCCTTCTCTACTGTTGGTGAGTGTAAACTGGTACAACCACTGTGGAAATCAGTGTGGAGATTCCTCAAAACACTAGAATTAGAAGTTCTATTTGACCTAGCTATTCTGCTGCTAGATATCTTCCCAAAAGAATTAGAAGCATCATACCACAGTGATATATGCATACCCATGTTTATAGTGGCAGAGTTTGTAATAGCTAAAGCTTTGAAACAACCCAAATGCCCATCATGATTGGATAAAGATTAGATTTTTTTTCTAAAATGGAGTACTACTCAGCCATAAAGAATGATAAACTAGAGACATTTATAGCTAAATGGATGCATATCAAAGCCATACTCTTAAGTGAAATAAACAGGACACACAGGTATATACCAAATCATTTCTCTGGTGTGAGAAAATGAAAGTATAAATAAGGACCAAAATGTACAACAGATAATGTGAAATTGAAATAGGAAGCAGAGGTTCAAAGAAGAGAAAATGGGTGGGGGAGCTCTGAGAAAAGAAGGAAAGAACAGAAACAAAGCTTTTGTAAACAGGAATGGGTGGAAGGGTGAAGGAGGGAAAGGAAATGGGGAAAAAAAAGAACTAAGATACATCATGTGCAGGTTCAAATTCCCAGATGAATGTGATCATAATGCACACCTAAAATATACCAATAAAGTTAATTTTAAAAAAATAATAATAATAATTCATGTCTTACCAGTATAGTCATCAAAGTTGACTCTTCCTCTCATTGTGTTCACAACAGATTCTGGCTGCTCAAAAATTTCCTTCTGCATAAATGAACTGAAGTTGCCTAAAGTAGTAAATTAGATAATTAAAACAAAAATTAATAAACCCAAGAATAAGAAATTTGTACATAACTAAAAGTCTATCTCCTTTAGCCTGATAAATGAAACAAAATGCCATGTAATGACAATAATATTCATATACTAAAGAACTAGATGAATATATTTTACTCTATGTTAAGAAAAATAAACAAGTATGGAGGAAAAGTCACTATTATTTACTTCACACCTAAAATGTACAGTTATAACAAACCAAGAAAATGACAAGCTTAATTTTTGGAGTCAGACCTAGGCTTAAATCGTGGTTCTATCCTTTATTATCTCAACTAGGGAAATTTCTTAGCCTGTAAAATAACAACAGCATTTACTTCATAGTGTGGACTGTAATGTGGGTTAATATTAACAAGGAACTTGACATAGCTGTTAATGTTAGTTTTTATTCCCACCACAATCCAATCAGAAAATAGAAAAATCAAAATCAAAATAATCATAATGGTTAATAGCAGCAAATATTATGGCACCAAGTATGCCACTGTCTTAATTATTGTACATAACTAACCCTCTTAATTGTCACACATCCTTAATGAAGTAGGTTCTACTGTCCCATCTCACAAATGAAAAAACTGAAGCAGAGGGAGAATACAAAGTACCAGAAAATACACTAATATATATTTTAAGAGTATGTAAAATATCAGGTACTGGGCCAAGGATTTAGCTCAGTGGTTCTGCTGCCTGCCTCACAAGCACAAGGTCCTGAGTTTGATACCCAGTACCCGCCCCCCAAAAAAATCAGGTACCATTAAAATAATCTCTTTTTATAATGTTAAAATACAAAACCATGAACTACTTTAAAGAACTATTGTTAAGACCAGCAGATAATTTTTCTGAAAAATCATCTGTTTTTCTGGGGTTGCCCTCTCACTAATCATGTGGAAGGTTCCACTCAACATCCTTATTAGGTTCAAAAGTGGACAGGAAATAGAATGCCTCCTTTTTTTTTTAAGGACACCAAGCTATAACATAACAAAAACTTTCACCCTTCATGATCTGCTGGAGTTCCATCTGGAGGGTCTGTACAGCTCTTCCAGGATGATCTTGTGCAGTTCGTTTAATTCGATGGATAGAAAGACGGCCATCTACCACTGCTGCAACATCATCATCTTCTAGAAAGATGACTCGGTTGGTATGTTCTATGACAGCACTATAAAATGTTCAGAGATATTACCGTCAATAACCAAGGGTCAGTATTACAAACAAAACTATCTTTAGGACACAAGGACTAAATTTAAATAAAAACGCTATAATCTTGCGGTACCTCTGTTAACTTTCTGACAATGACATCACCTACAGGGCAGTGAGGGAGGAGGTTATTGTGGACAAAAAATAAGAGGATCTCTGTACAACAACTTAACCAGATTAGATTAGATCAAAAGTCCTGGATATTTCCTCTTATCTATCCATCACCAAATCCTGCAATTTTAAACCCCAAACATTTCTCAAAGCTTCCTGCTATATACACCACCACAAATGAGTACACACTGCTGCCAGTGCTGTGGCTGGCTATTGTAGTATCCTCCTAGCTAATCCCCTCCAAGTTCTCTTTTATCTCCATCCATTTATTCAGTTTTCTGCCAAAATTGGTATCAAAAGGTAACTCTATAATCAAAGCTTTCTTCTCTCTTACCCAAAAGACCATTGATGGCTTCTATGCACTTATGGAAAACACCTAAATACATTATCATGACCCCTACACCTCCTTCTAACCAAATTTCCTCTCACTCTCTACTCCAGACACATGCACATCTCTCTCGAACTCTCAAAGAATGAGCAATCAGCAGAAAAATGCATGTTCTTCCCTCTACTTCTTCACCTAATTAAATCCTAATTTCTCCTTAGTTCTCAGTTCTACCTTCATGTTCTTAAAGAAATCTACCCATAAGGGGATAAATCACCCTATTACCCTATTCTAAGCATTTTGCAGTTCTTGTTACAGTAGAAATTTTTTATTTGTGTGATTATTGTTTAAAACTTGTCCCTTCCATTATGGAAGTGCTCCATATGGACAAGTATTTTCACTTCTTATTCACTATGATCTCCTGAAACTAACATATGGCTTCATTCAGAGTGTTCAATATGAATGCAAGAATGAATAAAAAGATTGATCATGTCTGTAATCTCCAGTTTAAACTATAACTGTCAATTCTGTAACAAACCATTTAATGACAGCAATGACACGTCTACAAAATTAGAAAACAATGAAGCTTGTTTTCCACTGAGGTAATAATTCCCTTAAGTCCTACATGGTTTCATTTTTAAATTTTTATTATCTTTTATTTTCAACTGTAGTGAGTGACTCAAATACCTCCCAGGAATTTGAACTGCTATAGTTCATATAATCTCTTAGCCTAGTATTATTCCCTTATTGAAGTGATTATGCTATAAGTTTCTTTTAAATGTACAAGATAAATGTCCATGTTAGAATAAAAGTAAAATGGCTCAGCTAGTATACTATAACTGGTGTGATACCAACTAAGCTATTCTATTCTCTAATCTAGCTCAGTGTTAAAGAGTGTTTACCGAGCATGCACAATGCCCTGGGTTCAAACACTGCACTACAAATAATAACAATAATATTAATAATTAAAATTTCTCCTCTCTACAAAATCTGGGTAACCTGAGAGAGGAAGACGGAGAGAGAGAGAATATATAAGCACTCTAAAGTATTGTACTGGAACAAGTCTCAGGACTATTTGTATTCTTGGTAAACCAAACTACATGCTTCAAAGTAGGGGAAAAAGTGCACTTATAGCCCCATCTCCAAAAGGTTACTATACTCATTAATTAGGAAAGCTTTAGAGGGCCAGAGATTTAACTCAGTGGTGTCGCACAAGGTCCTGAGATCGATCCCCAGTAGCAAAAATAAAAAAGTTTCAGAGCTGGGAATATATGTCAGTGGCTTGCCTAGAATGCATAAAGCCTTGGGTTTGATCCCTAGTAACAAAAAAGAAGAAAAAGTTCTTTAATAAAGCCTGACTAGATTTATACAAAATGACTTCTTCATTTATTATATAGCATGAGAAATTTTACTAAAAATTCTCTTTGAATGAATTAAGGATACTCACCTTGCATCAGAAGCAAAGTAATACTCTACCGCTTTTTCTTCAACAGGGAAAAGGCAAGTCGTGCTATCCACACGAGAGAGATTACAGCTTCCTTTCTTATCTTTGCCTAGCACATATAGTTAATATGAATTGGTAAATATGTAGAAGATCATGGTTAATTTAGAAACATACATAAATTTTTACAAAATCAACAAAAAAAAAAAAAAAAACATAGCAACACAAAATAATTTCAGCAATTTTAAAATGCCAGGAAGACCACCTTTTTCCATGCAGTAAGCCAATAAGAACAGACAAAAAAATATAGAGTGAAATAGCAACCATAAAATAATGCGTGGCAGATAATAGTGCTACACTCTAAATTTTTTAATGTAATAGTTATTTCCTAGGTAAAATCCAATAATTCATTAATATTATGAACTTTTCATTAAAAATATAATCTTACTTTATATAAGATTGATGGACTTAATATATAAACATGATAAACTTAATATATATACATTTTTGCTCCTATGCTTACCAAAAAAAATTACATTAAAAATATCAAAACTATGCAATAAAAAATAAAGACTAGTGGCAAATTAATTTTATTATTACAAAACTTCTCTAGCTTTTAATAGAAAGCATAACAAACCATGTGGTCTAAATTAATTTTGATTTTAAAACAAAGCAAAGATACATTATCACTCTCTAGCCATTGAACATCCTATGTGGCAACTACTGTTAGACACAGGAAAGAATCTCTCCTGTCTTAAAACTGTTTCCTTACACTTCTTATAATAAGTCAGGGTAAACTATGGTACTTTTATAATGGCAATACCTTTTTAACTCTAGCACTTCAGAATTTTGACATTTTTAATTTTTAATTGTCAAATTAATGAGAATAATGTTTTTTTGTTCATTCACAATTAAAATGAAAATGAGGAATTGTGAAGTTGAATTAGCCTAATCTAGAAAAAAAATCTATGTGCTAAAGACTATATAAATGTTCTACAAAAAAGCCCCTTCTCCAAGGCCAGAACACAGATGACCTTAAAACCTATAGATACAACAACCACAGAATACCATATATTTGTAAAAATGCATATCACACCTATCCTCTAAAATGCATGTACAACGACTTGTAATAATTATTCTTAGAAATGTACAAAGTTCTCCACATCTGATTAGTTGGTGTGTTTTACAAGCTATCAAATTTTAAAAACTAACTATAAAATGATATCCTAAAAATGATAATACTATAGAAACATAAAACAGCGTTTTTCAGGTGATGAATGGAACAAGAGTTGATTACAAAGATACAACTCAGGGAATTTTTTTTTTTTTTGGTACTGGGGATCGAACCCAGGTCCTTGTGCTTGCGAGGCAGGCGTCAGAACCACTGAGCTAAATCTCCAGCCCTCAAGGGAACATTTTGATGAGAATTTTCTGTATGTTGATTACAGCAGTAGTTAAACTGCCTTTGACAAAACTCTAGAACCGTCCGTCAAAAACTGTATTTTACAAAAAAAAAATTGCATTTACTCAACAAAGAAAAAAGTGAAAGGGACTAGAGGTGTTAAGTGGTACAGGGTTTACCTAGCATGTGCAAAACCCTGCTTCAAGCCCCAGTACCCCACTTCAACTAACCCCCAAAAATGAATTAACAAGTGGAAGGCAGCAGGCACAGTAGTATATGCTTGTAATCACAGCACTGAGGAGAGAGGACTATGAGTTCAGCCTACACTATGTAATGTACCTAAACTCAAACAACAAAAAAAAAGTAGAAAGACTGCCCAACACCTACCTTTCAAAAATAATACAATTAGCTTTTCTTATAATATGTCCCAACAGGATTGAATTTCATTCCAAACACTGATATCATTCTTCAAACAATAGAAGTATATTAAAAATTTAAAAGAACAAAGTATATCACTACCTGTTTAAATAACATCTACACAACTCTTAATATATACAGAATGTTTTCCCATATATTGATTACTCACGAAGTGAATACAATTATCATCCCTGTTCTACAGAAAGAAAAGTGGCTTTCTTGGTCACACCCAAAGGAAATGACAAAAGCCTAAACACCAGTCCAGAGTTCTCTCTTTACTTAGTCCATTCAATAAGAGGCTATTCATTTAACTAAGTTTCACTGAACCACACATTACCTACTAGGAGCTACAGAAATAAAGCTTATCAAACACAATTTGTCACGATAAAATTTTTCTTTTAACGTCTTAAGACCTTAACTATGGTTTTTCCACTATTTCTAAAAGTTGCCTAAGACAACCTACAAGGTAACACATATAGATAATATATACACAAGTTGAGTTATTAACAGAAATCTGAAACTCTAGACACACATTCTATATCCTCACTGGCAGTTTTCTTTTGGAAAGACCAGTGGCTAGGGAAAGCAATGATAGGGAGAGAAAAGAAGTTCTAACTACTATCTTAGGACTAAAGTTACTTAAGAAAATAATTTTCTGTTCTAAATAAAAGAGTGAAGGAGTAGCCATTAAAAATACAGTACTTTGAAAAGTACCGGTTTTCCAGAAACCAAGAACTAGAACTGGGGATTTAGCTCAGTGGCACCACGCCTGCCTTGCAAGCAGAAAGTCCTGAGTTCGATCCCCAGTACCATAGATAAATAAATAAATAGAAACCAAGAATTAAACACTAATAATACACATTTCAATTTCCTGAGTCTACCTCTCCCTACTTTTTACATGGAAAGCTTTTAACCGTAAGTAAACAGAAAGAGCATACTGTTGTTGCTTTACTTTTCTATGTAAACACATCACTAAAATGGTCTAGAGTTTATATAGCTGAAAGTCATATTCAAAAAATTAACTTCAAACATAAAGAATAGTAACTCTTAATTCAAATAAAACCAATCAAAATATTAAATGTAAATATAAAATTTCATGCATAAAATAAAGAGTATTTCAGTTAAAAGTTAGGCTAAGTTACTAAAATAACTACCACTTTGTTCAAACTAGCACAGGGTGCTCTTTTCCTAATTTAAGCATATATCTAAGTATTTTTAAAACATAAAAAATACAACTTTGACTATGTCCTCATACTTCAGATTAAAAAAAATTAGAAGCAATTTTCTAAATGCCAAAAGCAAACAGACAAAATATATTCTGCAAATCAGAAAAAAAAAGTCAAAATATGTTTCCCCATAAAATAAGCACTTTTTTAGAGGCCCAGCACATTCATTCACTCCAAGAACAAAGAATTAGTAAAGAATGAACAAAAGAGGGTAAGATTCCTTCCCATTCATGCAGAGTGCATTTCCCACCTCTTTCTCCCTGTGATCCCCACCGTGTGAATTTTGATCCAATCTGAGTCCTAGCTAAGGATATACAACAGAAAAAAAGTTCTACTCGTCAGAGAACTCACAAAAATAAACCTTTTTCAAGTCTAGACAGAACTATATATATACAGATATATACATATGGTTTAAGCCAAAGGGGCATTTATTTGAGTTTAAGGAAAAGAATTCTTTATATTCACTGCACTCAGCTTCCATGTTTTCCCCACAGCATGAAGCTAAAGCAGGTTTACCTGTTCTATAGAGTATTGGAATGTGATCAGTAGAGAGCTTATGTTCACTCCGAACGCCAATCAATAGGGGGCTACCTCTCCTGTAATTGAAAAATGGATTAGAATGAAACCTTTTTTTATAAATAATGTGCTAGCAATATAAAACTTGAATTTAGCCAATTCTCTTCAAGTAATGTATTAATTCTTCCTCTAAACTCAGTTTTAGATATATCAAAACAACCAGGTCAGCAAACTAAGATCCACAGATCTCAGTGCCTATTTCTACAATTTTTGTTTTAATTATATTTATTTATTTTTAAAGGAAACTTTGATATTATATTAAAGAAAGTTTTACTGGAATACAGCCATGCCCAATCTATTATAAACATCCCATGACTACTCTCACATCAGACCAACACTGAGTAGCTACCTAAGAGGCTGCACAGCCCAGGAAGCCTGAGGTATTTACTATAATTCCTGAATAAATTTGCCAACTTATTCTCATTCCAGGATAAGTTGGCCAACTCCTGTTCCATGCTATATTTAAAATTTTTCTCCTTTTATTTTTTTCTCCTTTTAAATAAATAAAACTTCTCTTTCAATTGTACCCCAGATGCCAATATACGACTCATTAGTCCTTCTTCTTAGTCATACTGCCTTTAAAGACATCTTTTTCTCTTATCAAACCTTAATACTCCTCACTATTCTCAACTTCATGACTACATGTAAACATACTAGCAACAAAATAAATAAATAAATAAATAAATAAATAAATAAATAAATAAATAAAAATACTAGCAAAAGCAATGATAGTACAATTATCTAAGAACCTATCAGAAATATATGCTTCAAAAAATATGGAGAAAGTTAATGTTTTAGGACTATAATTAGAGAATAATACTCAGTACCCAAATTCACAAAGTAATGATAGTGTCACCCCAAACACAAAAGGCAAATCATAAGTGCCAAATGTATTTGCTTTATTAAGATATTCTGCTAAATGAAAGAGTGGTACAATACATAAGAAGGATTATATGAAAATATATTCACATGACTATCTAAGCACAGAACCTTTATAGTAAATGGTCATCATTTACAGACTACCACGAATAACCATGTAACTCAAATGTTCCAAAATGTTTCAAAATATGTAATTTATTAGTCATATTAGATTTAAAATGTACCTTGTGCCAACTGCTTGCCCAGGAAAATGAACACTTTTAAATACAAGTGCAAAAGCACCTTCCTATGGAGAGGGGAAAAAATATATTAGCAAAAATTTTATTGTAATTAATTATCAAATGTGAAGTACTTAAGATATACTGGCTTCAGCACAGAAATTTTTTGTTCACACAAAAGCTCTTTTGCAGTAGTTTATAAATAAGTCTACATTTTAGGTAGATACTTACTCCTGAGCTTTAGTATATATAAGATCAACTTTTTAAAATCAAGGCTATTTTTGAAATGTGCTTAAGAGATAACCAAAAACAGACCATTTGTATATGCTACCAACACCTCTCAACAGATGCAGCATTATCTCTCATACTATGCATTAGTAAAAGGAAGCCAGAAATAGAAGACTCCAGGCTCAACATCTAAAACCCATTTCTCTGCCCTAGTAATTATACACCACTGTTAACTTTTATTCTTTTTTACCTTGAGATGAGAACATATACACTCACAATTACTAATATGCACACCACACCATCAACCCAAACTCCTCAGGCACAGGAGCTAATGAAGAATAAACAAAGGGAAAAAATGAGGTAGGAGAGTGAAGACCACTATGGAACACAAAGCAAACTACACAGTTGACTAAAAAGGCAAGATCTATCAGAAACAAGAAATGATGGGAAAGCACACTATGCTTCCTTGAGTAAAGGGAGGAACAGGTGTCCAGACAGTATTCTCCATCTTCCCAACTCCTTCTGCTGCAGACACCATAACATCAGGATGGTGGTGGGAGGGAAAGATCAGGGTTTTAGAAGGGAAGAAAAGGGCTTATACATGGGACAGCTACAGTTATGAGCTTGGGGAAGTAGTTAGGTGTCACTACAGACTCAAGTTTTGTGGATGTCTTTAATTAGGGCAACTGAGAAGGGATCAAAGGAATACTGCTTTCTCTTGGGCCACTGAGGTACAAGACCAAGGAAAAGTTCCCAAAAGGAATAATAAAGGATTGAGTATGGAGGCAAACATTCCAAAATAAAGACAGCACACTGAAGGCACCCTTTTGCTAAGTTGATGGATCGAAGCAAGAGGAATTAATTCTCCATTGTAGGTATTATGTACATGTTTGTGTGTTGTATGTATGAGTTTGTATGTATGCATAGTTTTTAGGCAAACTGACCTTTTAATCTTAGGATACCACACTGGTGAAATAAGTAGAATTTTAAGTGTATATGACTGGGTGTTCTCGGTAAGTCAAATATCAGTCTCTCAAAATCATTCAAATTGATGGGGATGTAGCTCAGTGGTACAGCATTTGCCTAACATGCACAAAGCCCTGGGTTCAATCCCCAGAACTACAGGGGATTAAAAAGAAAAAAAGAATCAAAATTATTCAAACTAAAATGTTATATATGGGAAATAAAAGCCAAAAATACTGAAGAATTTAGCATAGTTCCTATTTATCAGACTTAGTTTTAAGGAAGCTTCTCATGGTTAATAATGGCATTATTATCTCTACAGGTATAGCTTTAGAACAGGATTCTAATATGGCCAATGAAAGAAGGAAGTGACTGGAGAAGCTCAGAGAGAAACCAGATAATGTAACTATTCTGAAACTACGGGGGCAAATACACCCAGATTCAAAAAATTCAGAGTTGTTGATAAAGGGACACAGAGCCATCATTGGTCCACTCCTGCCCCCACACCCTTTACCCATTGAACATGCCATCTTGGGAATGGTTCTAACAGCCTGAGAGAAGGAGGTAGCGCTGCAGAAGACAAACTGCTAGGATAGGTGGAAGAGAAAATCACACTTGGAAAAGAAAATCCAGCATGAGAGCTAAATGCAGGTAGGGCTACAGGGAAACAACAAACTGCAACCAGAGAAAGGGACAGCCAGCAACACACACGAAAAAGGCAATCCCTCCCCATAACACCTTCCCAAACACTGTCCCTGCAGCATCCCAGCATCCACTGCTCGGCACTGACAAGGAAAGCCCCTCACCCTAGACAGAGAGAGGCTGAACACTTTGAATGATGGGTGACAACCAAGCTCCCTGGCAGGGAACTGTGGATTGCATCCTTGGAGACAGAGGATTAGAGGAGATTCAACAGAGCCAGATCAGATTGTATGCTTTCTTAATGCTTTCCCAAATGCCAGAAATCTGATTCAGAATGAAATCCTGCCCATCACCTGCCATCTTGCATGGGGTAAAGGAGGCCCTCTGCCAAGCCAAGAAACTAAACCAACTCCCTTGGGTTGGAAAGTGGAGAGCTTGTATGAGGAACCAGGGGCAGATGAAGGTCTGAGGGTGAAGGGACAGAAAAAGTCACCTGGGGAGAGGGCTTCTGGTGATATACTAAACAGAAGGCTCCTGAAGGGAGAATTCAGAGAAGACTGGGAGATGTGCCCTGCAGCAAGAAGAGCAAAAGTAGAGGATGATATAGAACCAAGTGTTGGACAAACTTCACCATATCCTCTTCTTCCCAAATTAATTGAGGTGGTTGGATCCTGAGACAGAGGAAAAGGTCTGCAAATGGCCATGCCCAAAGCATGGCTTTTGGCCAAGAGATAAGTCCAAAGAGACTAACATCCCTCACCACTCCCAATTAAACAGGCCACAGGACGGGAAACCAGCTAGGTTGGCTGCAACTGGACTAGGATTACAATGTGAAGAAAACTGTGCGAACATTCTGGCTCTATGTGATAGCCATGTGGGGATTTCTGCTGGATTCCTTGTTTGTCTGTTTTGGATTCTCTCTGGGTTGGTCTGTCTCTCTGGTTGGTCTGTCTTTCCTTAACGATATTTTATTTCACCTTTTATTTTTTAAGGGTTTTTTTCCCCTTTATTCTGCTATCAGCCCTTCTCCTCTTTTCTCCCTATTCTTTTGTCTTTGTTCTTCCACATTTTCCCTAGCCCCTTGTTTTTTCTCTCTTCTTATCCACCTTTCATGTGACATATATACAGCAGCAGGTGCCTGTATATCTCTACAAAAGACAGTAAGAGTAAACCTGGGCTTCTGGGCTTTAACTTGGCCGGTACCACTCATGGCCATGTCAGGGTAACCCTCAACAGAACTGTGTTTAGAGGATCCCAAGAAAACTAACTACAAATATATTAACAGGTTCAGACAAACTCACAGCTTCCTTCAATCCCTAATTACACTTTCTCTTGCTGCATCCCTCCTCCCCCCTCCACAAATATTCTCTCAAACCCCCAACACTAACCTTTACTCAAGCTATAAAAATACTTCCAACAAAGGCCAACTTCTTAGCATTTTGTACCCACTAACCTTTATCTTAATCTCTTACTGACAAACTTACTTCTCTTTTTCCTTTCCTCTTCCCTCCACATCCCAGACTAACCACTAATACAAAACAGATTAGTTTGTAAGAGACACTGATAAAAGGTGAAATTGTCAAAACAAGAGTTAATGTTCATGATCAGTGTATGGCTAGATCTGTGGAAGCTGTTATAACCAGTAAGAATTCTCTCCTTACAGCACAATGACTGGGTTCAACCCAATTAAAGTCAATAGAATGAAGTGTTAGACAATGACTCTTGATAAGTAAAACCAAGATCACATCACTGGAAAATAGAATCTAACTAAAGAGATATTCACACCAACACCAACAACAAAAGTTTCATCACTCTAGTTGACCTCAACTCTCAGGACATGCACCCACACCCACATGAATATGAAAAAAAAAAGGCAAGAAAATGCCTATGAAAACTCCCAACGCTCTCAAAGCATTTCCAAGGGGCAACAGAGAAGAAATCAAACACCAAATACCAGAGTTGTACAAAATGATCCGAGAGGAAGAACAGAAAGTAATATGTACCCAAAGATGATATAATGAGACAGTGAAATTAACAAACTGACCAATGTGGTTAGAGAAGACTCAAATAAAAAATTAAAAGAACTAACCAAGACCATTCAAAACATAAATGACAAATTTACCAAATAAATAAGGAGTCTGTGAAAAGGTACCAAATAGATATCCCAAGATAAATAATTCTACTGAAAATACGAACAGCAGAAATGATGAATGTGAAGCGAGAATGTAAGACCTTAAGGATAGACTGGAAGCATAAGCAAAAATAGAGATACTATAAAAACAACAAGAAAGCAAGGAAAATTGATCTAAAAGCCACTAGATCATGCTAACACTAATTGGAGTTACAGAAAAACTAAAGGACAGCATGGATGAAATAAGAAATCTGTTTACAGAAAGCATAACAGATCCATATGAACAAACAGACCTCCAAGAGACAAACAGCACCCCTCAGCCACTCAAGGAAGTAGACCCACATCAGATGAGTGACAACCCTCAATGACTCGAGTGAGCAGACCCTTGCCAGAAAGCAGTACCCCTCCCACAAAGGAATAAGTAGACCTAGGTGGTATCCATCCCACACACAAGCAAGCAGGCTTCCATCAGAAACACAGTCTCCTTTTTTTTGTTTTGTTTTTTTTCTTTTTTCTGGTACTGACGTTTAAACTTGGGACCTTGTGCTTGTGAGGCAGACAGCAGAACCAGCGCTAAATCCCTGGCCAAGCACAGAGTCTCCTGACACATGGGTGCAACCACCCACCAACTTCAAGCCATTTTGCTTTCCCATGGCACAGGGAGAAGAGGTAAGGACTAATCAACCAATCTGATCCTGAACAAGAACAATGTCCAAAGGAAAAAAAAGAGCAACCAAAACCCAGCCCACTCTAACCCCTGGTCCTGCAGCCACATCCAGCAGAGACTAGAGAGCTGCTGCATTCCCCATATACCAGTGGGAAGGAGGACACACCTGGGCTTGGGCAGTAGCCACAGTCTTAGGAGAAAGGGGCAGGTGGACCTCTGGAATAGGGAGGGCACGTAAAAAACCCATAGACCCTAAAGCTAGACAGAAAATTGCGACTGACTGGATTGCAAGAATATCGTTTTTGAAAAGAAATCACTCACTGAATAACAAAAGAATATTTTTCTTTTGACTTAATCTCATTGATTTTTTTACTTTGAATTATTTTTATCTCTTCTTATTGGGATATTTGGGGGTTTAGGGTTTTTTCTCCCTTTTC